CAAAAAGTGCAATTGGTCCTTTGCATTTGTGCAGATGAATAGAGTTTTGCAAATGGAAAATGGGCCATTGTCGTAAGTGTGGATTTGTTTGTACAGATGTGGAGTTGAGCACACAGCTGGTGCTTCCTGAGTGGTGCCTCCAGTATGTTCACCCACAGTCAAAAGCTGTAAAGCCTTCTCTACCCTGCTCTGGTAGTTTAAATCAGGTGCAGCATGCTGCCATTAGGTGTGCAGATGAATAGAGTTTTGCAAATGGAAAATGGGCCATTGTCGTAAGTGTGGATTTGTTTGTACAGATGTGGAGTTGAGCACACAGCTGGTGCTTCCTGAGTGGTGCCTCCAGTATGTTCACCCACAGTCAAAAGCTGTAAAGCCTTCTCTACCCTGCTCTGGTAGTTTAAATCAGGTGCAGCATGCTGCCATTAGGTTTTAAGCAGAAATGTGGAGTTGAGCACACAGCTGGTGCTTACTGAGTGGTGCCTCCAGTATGTTCACCCGCAGTCAAAAGCTGTAAAGCCTTCTCTATCCTGCTCTGGTAACTTAAATCAGGTGCAGCATGCTGCCATTAGGTTTTAAGCAGATTTGCTGATGGAAACCCATTAGCATTCTGCTGGTAGTCCCTGACAGCATAATTTTAGTCCTGCAGTAAAATACTAAAAGAAGCAATACTGGGATAAAAATCACTTGCATTACTGAGACAGTTTGTTAAAAGTGAACAGATCTTATTATTCTCACCTTCTCTATTGATGCTATTTGTTTGTTTTCCCAGTCTTCTGCATTACTAAAATTCTGTTGTATTTGGGTTTCCAGAACTGCAAGGCTTTGGAAGAGGAAACAGAATAGTTCTAGTCTCTCTCGGTATTATGACACTTTACACCTATGTGAGACAATGTATTAAGCTCAATTTGTGGGCCTAAACTACTTGTCTCCAAATACAGGAATCCTAAATCATTCTTTTAACTGTTGTGCATCAGAACAGGATGGAGACTGTTTTTAGGTTTTTTCCCCAGCCCTCTGTGTGGGGATAACTGGTGGCAATATGGTAGCTGTCAGCACAGGGCTCAAATATCTATTGGTCTTGAACAAGAGGGAGTTCACTCCCTTCCTTGAGCAAAAGCCATCACACAGCAAGATGCAGCACTGAAGTTTGGAATTTGCTGATGGGATGAGATGCTGACACTTGTTCAGAGTTGTATGTGTTAACTGGGCACCAGGCTCTGAGAAATCTGTGGCTTGGGAAATAGTCTAGATCAGTGGGGCTTGAGAAGTAAACTCTCACCTATATGAAAGGAGCTGGAAGAAGAGTACCTATCAGGAGAGCATCATCTCTGGGGAACTGGACACAGAAGTCAAGAATAAACAGGCAAAATATTCAAAAATGTTTTAAGCTGCATCTACTTAATATTTGCATACAACTCTGAAAGCACATTTGCTGCACAAAGAAGCCTCTGCACTCAATTACCTGTTTGCTTGTGTGTATCCTGTGGGTCCAGTTTAGGCCTCAAAATCTGCAAAAATAGGATTGTCTAAGTTCCTGACTGTATTGAGCTCTGCGTAGCATTTTGTTTGCATCAGTCTGAAATTCAGCTAACCATCTGCACTGGAACATATAATTCTTATTCATCTTCCTCTTTGGCTGGTAGCTATTTGAGAACAATATTGTTTCCTTTCTTTCCTCCTCTCTAATTTCTCCATCGCTTGAACTCCTTATGGCCTGAAAGACCATATTGGAGATATTGGCATAAAGATAAAGAATTGTACTGCTCTGCTCACCCCAAACAAGAAATGTTTCTCTTCTACTTCAGTAAGATGAACTGTGGTGGTAAGGTGTGTATATTGTCATGAGTAGGTTTTTTGGCAGGTACCATGATTTTATCAGGAAAAAGGAGCAGAGAACCTGGAGTGGAGGCCTCTTGTACACAAGAAGCAAACCAGGCTTGCCTATGAGAGGTTGTGTTCTCTGCTTTAAACTAAATTCAAGATAACATTTTGTGAAATGGAGCCTATACCTGAAACTGCATGTCCCATGTCACAGGGACCTAGCTGATCACTGTGTCCTTTGGAGAAGTTGGGACAGAGTATTATAAGATATCCTTTCAGGCAATGGAGATGAGCATATATTATTACTACAAGAAGGAAAATGATCAGGGAATAATCTTGGGTCTTTGAGGTTATTCTCAGACTGATTCCTTGGCACTCTGGACTCTGCCCATACAATTATCTCCTTTGCAACACTGATAAGATAGAGGATGTTGGTGTAATGGAGGACAAGTCAGTCAGTTTTGTTCAGGTGAAGGCAGCTCTTTTTAGCATATTTAATTATTCCTGTACCCTGTCACTCCTCCCCATTACCCCAGTCCCTTCCAGCCACATTTCCTGGTATCCTGTCTGACACAACTGCCCATACCATGTGACCTGCCTGCAAGGCCTTTGACTTTTATGGGGAAAGGGATGCATAATCATCCCAAGTTCCAGGGAAAGGGACATATCAAATTTCCTGGGACAGTGTTGGCAACTGTAGCTTAGGTATCACAGAACAGGAATGTTTCATCCTTTTACTAGGCTGTACACATTTATTTTCTTCCATTTTGCTTGGGGAAAAATTCCCCTCCATCCTACTTCGATGAGACCCAGTAACCCCTGCAGCAGAGTTAGGCCTGTTCTCCCATAAACAGTTAGTTAATGTCAAGCCACAGCCACGTGATTTTTTTTTTTGTCAGTTTTAAACAAGGAGTGACTATGAAGGTTGCTAACAGTTGCAAACATTAAGAGGAGACTTGTACTCATATTTATCTTTTGGCAAATGGAATACAGCTACTTGGATGCAATGGAATGACATCGTTTGAGGTTTGCCTTCAGTGTCAGTGGTTAATACGTTAAAGCAGCATGAAGCTAGTCTAATTTAGACAATTAGCTCTTAGTGCACCAATATGTCATTCTATTTATATGTAAAACCCCAGGATTCATTTTTTTCTAGCTAATATTGGAATGTCTAATGAAGAAACAATAGATTTACTATTGTTGGATGCCTTGGGTAGTAAAAACATGTTCTTAATTGGACTGTTTTAATGAGAAAGCTGGCCTTAATGCTTTATGTGGTTTTTCTAAGTCTGCCACTGAAAAGATGATCTCGGAGGTAACTTGCTCCTGAGCTTTCTGATGGTGTCTAATGTAGGGTAATTTATCTCTATTCAGACGGGAGAAAAAATAGCAATTGCTCCATGTCTTTTTAAAGATGTGCTACAAACTGTGAAACTGGTGTAAGTTTCCAAGGGTGTCAGGGATGTTCTGGCTGGAATACCCATCTGGCCGTGGGAATCGGATACCAGCAGGGAAGTGCAGGTCTGGAATGAACAACTTAGAATCGTGTGCAAAATGGTGGTGTGCACAGAATGAATAATTTAAAGTGTGAAATGGGTACTTGACTTGCCTGTAGTTACCCGTTTTGTAAATATACATGCAGCTTCTTCTGGGCACAGCAGGTGCCCCAACACTTCAGCAAACACATTGCAGGTGTCCTCCTCTTAAGAATGTGGCCCTTTGTCATACCCATAATGGGTCGAGTGGTATAACTTATTTTAAGATAGACACGCAGATCTTTGAAGCAAGCTTTTGTTTATTTAAGAGGAAAGGAATAAACAGAGTATACTCACAAAATCCAATACAGCATGCTCAAACCTTGTTACCTCTTATGCGCAATTTCTAAAGACACCCTTAAAGATGATGCCTGGAGCAGATCAGCTAAGCTGTCAGTCGTGCACTACCCACAAAGCTTCTAAATGAGCTGTTCCCCCAGCAGTACGCTTCTATGAGAACCCAAAGATCTGCACACCTTGCTCAAATTTTGGCTCAAATTTATTCGCATCTAAGCGGAATTTAGGACCAAATTTGGATTGACCTTTACTGTGATTGGCTAAACGCTAGAACATTTTGTGGTTAGCGTGGTGTGCTCCCAACTTTCTTTTGTACCGCATTGTGGTGAGATGCCCTTTTCACCTCTGACCCTCTCAAGGAGCTGATTTGGAGAAAAACTCCCAGAGTGCAGCCTGACTCTAAGAGGCCTCAGCGTCGCTGAGTTGTTTCTTCGTGGTTTGCCAGTACAGGTGTTTCATTGCTTTGACAATGTTGTGAAACCACATGTTTCCCTGTTTCGGCAGCTCTGTAGCAACCGTGCAGTCAGAACACTTGGGTTTCTCTTTTGTCAACTTTGTACTTTGTTTCTGTACTGTCAGCAAAACTGTAGATATGGGTATCACATCCTCTTCTTTTTGTGAATAAATTTGCCAAAATAACTTTTGAACATCCCACAGACACCAAGCAAGTTTAAACCTCCACATTATGAATATGAGGGGGTTTGGAGGAAAATTCCATCCGATTAGGAATAATATTCCTAAAATGGTCAGGATGACTAAGGTGAATTTACACTTTAGAGCCCATAACTGCTGTTGGCACAGATGCAATGGTGTTGCTAATTCTGGTAGCATTAGGCATAGCGACTGTTTCCAAGCACTATCTATTTCATAGATTAACATAAATCCTATAACTAAGATATGATGAAAAATCAAATGAGAAAGATTAGTAGTTTTACATATGCAACTACAATAAAATATAAATTCTAGGCAATACCACATAAAAAATATGCAATAATAATACTTCCATAACACTGGTTTAAAACAACAACAAGAAGCCCAAACTAATAATACACTAGTTCCATAAAATCATTGATGAATAATTGAAGTCCATTTAGGAATCAAATATTGATGCAATAGGCCTTGAAGCTGAATAATAAGAAAAGTTAAAATAACTAGCAATAATAACAAAAGGCACGTGGTGGAGTTGCTTAATACTTTGGAAATGGTTATACGGAGATGAGACTGATCGTGAATATTCATCGTAGCTTGATAACGGTGGTTGACTTTACAGAGACTCGATGATAACCTTGACAATAGGGATAAATTCCTCTCAGAAAAAGATAAAGTACAAT